GCAAAGGTGAGTATTAATCTAACAATTTCATAAGAAATAAACTCACTTAACTTAAGGATAAACATTACATTTATTGGTTTGGGAACTGGTCTACGTTTAGCCGGAGAACTAATTTTGATTATTCTGAACTTTGATCAAATCCAAAGAAAGAATTAACTCCAACGCTAGTTTTGCATTCTCAGCCAGAATTCTTTTGTCTTTGTAAAATATCTGGCTATAATCGAGTGGGTGGGAGCAACTGTCACCGAAATAACCAGAGCTGCAGCTGCCCCTTCAACAAAGACACTTAATGGATGTCAAAGGAACAATATATTTAGCCCAGAAAATAGCACAAACCGTCTCGCTAATTATTTTTTCCTTTCATTTACTCCTCGCAGCTGTGTCAGATATTAAGTGGTTTTGATTAAATTTCTAAGACTTTTATTCAAAGTTCAAGATTTGGGAGTTTATTGGGAGAGGAGGGAAGAAATAACTACAATGTGTAAGAAATTCCCCTTTTTACAAAGATCATCAGGGCAGTAAGAATAAAAGTGGGGACAAATAGAAGGATAATGCATCTTTTACGAACATTCTTAACGTATGAGGGTTATTTACTGAATGGGATTTTAGTGAACTGAAAACAGAATTGTGTAATTTGGGCTAGCATAGTCGTGATCTGATTAGAGCTAGTTAGCGAAAGGTCAAAAACAGCAATTTTTTGACAAAACTTTGCAATTCAGTTTCCAATTCTCTATAATTTAGTGTTTAATTAATAAATCCCTTTTTAAAAAAAGAAGCAATTTTTAAAAAATGGTTATTTTAAATACAATGATACGAATCAGTAGATCATAAAAGCAGTCAAGATGTCACAAAATCTGGGTATAAACAAGCTGCCACCAACAGCATCTATTGATTATTGAAGGAAGTTCTGACGGCAGCAAGTGATCGCATAGGTATTCAATAAATCGGGTATTGCCCAGGAAATTGTGACATTATGCCCAAAATGACTGAGATTAAACAATTGCTCCGATGGAGAATATTTCAGATTTGCCTGTTCTGGTCTAATTACATGGTAAATTATTTTTTAAATCACAGTTTAGTGAATAACTATCACCACTGAAAAAAAATAAGAAAATCTAGAACCCTGAATAATTCCAGTGATACATGGGATTTGCATACTGTGTAAATCAGAGCCAAAAGTCATGCCATGTACCCCAAACTATATCCATGTTCAGTTATCTGCATTTTCTGTACTGACCACTAGTGGGCAGTGAGAGCACACGCGTCTTACATTTATTTATTTTACACTTCTGATAATTATACAAACAAGGGATAAATATTTAAACACAGTGAAAAAAAAGAGAATATATTTTACAGCTAGTTTCTTTTTATTAATAATATCAGGTTTGCACGTATAATTTTACAAGCAGATCAATAAAAATGAAATCAACGCTCCCTTATCTTTTTACACTGTCTCCTATTTTACTATATTTTAAGAAGTTTAGGAAAACTCGTCTCTTTAGGATAGAATATGAACGTAGTGGATCATTTCCTTACCTGGTTAATTTTGCCAGTCTGCCATGTCTCTTCCCCCTCCCCCAACACATTCTCTTTATCAGAATAATCTCTACTCCCATCTTTACCATTTATTTTTTTTATTTTTTTATTTAATATTTTTGCAGTGCATAGTTAAACAAAACTGCTTGTCCTGCCACAACGACAGATACAAACAGAGAGAGGTATATAGTTTAAACACTTGTGGCATGCAATAACGGCACAATTTTAGTTATGAAGGTTTCGCTAGGTAGATAAAGTATATACAATCAGTACATCAATTTTGCTGTGTTACAGCTAATTGTTTTACTCGTTGTGTGGTTTGCTAGCTGGGGCAATACTCTTCAGTCAGAAGGAAGGTAATTATGGGCTTGTGGGTGCAGGCTTGATCTGGGATGTCCCCTTAGGCGCTGGTATGTCCGCTGGTTAGTTTAAGGGGGACTGCTATCTAAAAGTTTTACGCCTCTATAGTTTTAGGTAGTGCTGAGCCTACAATGTGTGGCTGTATGTTGTGGTTAGAGGCGGGGGGTTAGTGGTTGCCTCGTATCCTATGCGTCTGGGTGTGTGTTTGCTTCGAGAGCTAAGTGAGTGTGAGGTGGTCAGAAGTAAAATATAAAAACATGTTAAACGAATAATGTAAAGTTCTACTGGAGTTGGCAGGTACCAGTCCTGTTTCTACTCGCGTCCAGGGCAAGTCTTAAGTAATCGGTGCCGCGCAGGCACCCGCTGCCGCCCGTCGGGGTACGAATGGGGTGACTTTGGTTGGGTCCCATCTGTGTGTTACCGCTGGGGCCTTCCCCCGTCCGGGGGGGCCTAGAGAGTCCCGTGTGAGGCTGACGTCTCACCATGTGTGGGAGTTCAGCCTCCGGGGGTTTCCTCAGGTATGCCTTGTATTTTGAGGTTTTTGCGCCGTCTCTGATCCTCCAGGGCGGCAAACCTTTTTTCTGTGTTTGCTTGTTGTTGTTGGAGGCCTCTCACCATATTCTCCATTGTTGTAATCCTTTGTGTCCGATCGTCCGAGGAGGTTTCCAGTGTGCTCAGCCTTCCTACTAGGCCTGTGATATCAGTTCGGAGGGAGGCAACATCTGCCTGGAGAGTCCTCTGGAGGCCTGTAAGTAAGTCTTTCAGTGCCCCCATCGTGATCGGTGAAGCATGTCGCCGATATTCATCCCCATCCGGGGTTTGTCGGGTTTCTGCTTTTTTGCCCATATTTGCTGGAGTCGATATTATGGTTGTTTTGTTTTGAATTATATGATTTTAGCGTAGTTTTAGTTACGAGATGCCGGAGCTCATAGAATGTGCGTCGGTTCGCTTCTGGCATTAGGCTCCGCCCCCCCACCATTTGTGTTTTAATACCCCAGCACTTGTAGATTGCAAGCTCTTAGATTCAGACTCTCTTCACTTCTTTCTTTAGTTCATTTTAAATTGTTTTTCATTTATTTGTGGTTTTTGTTAGTGTAATTTCAGAATATGTTGGCACTTTATAAATAATAATATCAATAATACAAACATTAATAAAAAATTAAATTGGGGACAAACAGGCTTACACTTTAAAGGGACACTCTGCTGCCAAATTGAAAAACAAACAAACTTGTGTTTAGTAGGTATACCCACCATGAAAACATGCTTACATTTTATTATGATTATTTTTTTTCATTGGGGCATAATCTAAAAACAGCTTATAAAAGCTGCAGTTCTAACCCCGCCCAGACTTTCTGTGGCTGTCCAATCACAGACTTCCAATGCAGCTCAATGAGAAGCCTTTGCAAGGCAGGTGTTCTGGGCAATACCTACTTTTTAAGTTGTGTTCCACTGAGCTAACCAAACCAGGAAGTAACAGGACCGGGTGTCTGATTGGCAGCCAGGGGGTGTAACAGGGTTTATTTATAAACATGTCAATTTCTATTGAAATCTGCACTTGTTGTAAATGGAAAAAAAGAGGACACACTCTCCACAAGCGGAAGTGCTTCAGGGGTAGGGAATGTCCCTTTACACAGTCAGAAAAATAAACACAGTCTCATCTCAGTTCTGTTTAACCCTTTCAGGAAGGTAGTGATTTCTCCTGTGATTTTACATCCCGTGAGTACATCCCCTGCTGCTTGTAAAATCATATGTGAGAAAAAAGTGAAATGACAGTAAACATTGTAAGAAAATTGTCGCTAATTCTATCTGACATGTCTTTCCTATCCAGCTCGGGGGATGCAAGATTTATGTCATATATAAAAATAACGTATAACGGAGCGCAGAACACGGCACTCTCAGCTATGTCTTGTAACAGGAGCCCAAAGCGTCATCTTGTTCCCCGACAAAGACGCATATAATCCCGAAGTGATTTCTTTTTGTGGAGTAGATTTTGGGGTCTTAAAAAAATGACAGAAATGCGTATTTGTAGAGTTGCTGTGAGTGATAATACTCTGAGTTTGCTAAGCACAGGTCACCCTGGATTTTTTCACTGAAACCAATCAACACACTCAGAGTGACACTCCCCAGGTTTCCCTATTTAGGAAAGACAGTCCACAAAACAAAAAAACACGAAAATCAAAACACTGTTTAATAGATATAGCCCCAATAAAAACATGTGTTTTAATGCTATTTAATTATTTTTTATTAGGAGTATATTGGGGGTATATTTAAAATAGATTTAAAAGATGCAGATCTCTTGTCTGCAGCCTTTGAAAGTCCTGCCCTTCTAACCCTGCCCAAACTTTCAGTCTGTACTGGGGAAATGCCTCTAATTCTAAGCCACGATTGCACACTTCCGTGGCAGCTAGTAAGGACACAGGAGCCGAGCGGACAGTGGCAAAAGGCGGGTGAACTCTAGCAGAGCTTGCCTGCCACATTTTTAAGCTTAGTGGAACTAATGGAAGAGGAAGAGAACCTCCTCCGCTGTTTGATTGACAGCCGGGGAGGTATTTCTTAACTAAATTGCCGAATTTACATTGGTAGGATGCAGGAAACTAGTGCAGCAGGTAGATGTTGGGGCAATTAATACAGCAGGTAGATGTTGAGGCAATTAATACAGCAGGTAGATGTTGGGGTAATTAATACAACAGGTAGATGTTGGGGTAATTAATACAGCAGGTAGATGTTGGGGTAATTAATACAGCAGGTGGATGTTGGGGTGATTAATACAGAAGGTAGATGTTGGGGTAATTAATACAGCAGGTGGATGTTGGGGTGATTAATACAGAAGGTAGATGTTGGGGTAATTAATACAGCAGGTGGATGTTGGGGTGATTAATACAACAGGTAGATGTTGGGGTAATTAATACAGCAGGTGGATGTTGGGGTAATTAATACAGCAAACAGATAATTGTGGGGTGTGAGAGTTTGTTTGACACAATACATTTGGATCTTTGCCTTATTCCGTAGGCTAAAGATGTTTTGCAATTTCAAAGTAAATCTGTCCTGTATCCGCCCTGTGCCAGCAGCCACACTGATACCAGTAGATTGCACAGCATCTGCCCCTCACATTTTCATCTTAGATCTCAGGATGCTGTGTCTGTGATCTGGACCCATTGTTTGTGGTCTGTAGATGCTGTGTCTGTGAACTGGAGACGGTGTGTTGGTGACCTGGAGGCGCTGTGGTTTGTGGATGCTGTGTCTATGTCCTGGGGATACCGTGTCTGTGACCTGGACCCATTGTTTATGGTCTGTGGAACCTGTGTCTATGAACTGGAGACGCTGTGTCTGTGACCTGGTGATACAGTCTGTGGTCTCTGGATGTGGTGTCTGTGACCAGGAATCTGTGCCTGTGACCTGGGGACGCTGTGTCTGTGACCTGGGGACGCTGTGTCTGTAAACTTGGGGCGCTGTGTCTGTAACCTGGGGACGCTGTGTCTGTAACCTGAATCCATTGTTTGTGACCGTAGGACGCTAAATCTCTGTCTATGACCTGAGGACGCTGTGTGTATGACCTGGGAAGCTGTGTCTGTAACCTATGAGTGCTATGTCAGATGACCCTTTGTTTGTGGACTGTGGACATTGTGTCAGTGACCCTGGAATACAAAATATGTGTCTGTGATTCTGTGACATGAGAACACAGAGTCTGTGACCTAGGGACGTTGCATCTGTAATCTGAAGACTATAACCTTGGAACTCGGTGTCCTGTGAACCCTGTGTCTGTGACGCTCTCTAATACCCAAGGAAGCTGTATTTGTGACCTGTGGGCGTTGTGTCTGTGACTTGGGGAAATTGTGTCTGTGTCCTGGGAATATTGCGTCTTTGACATGGGGACCCTAGGTACCTCCAGGATGCTGTTTGTTGTGTTCACATTCCTGCTATTGGTACGGATGAATGAACCATCTTTCCCAGGTAAGTTATGGACCCGCTGATATCAAAGCAAATAAATGAACTGGTTTGTTGTCATTGTAAATTGCAAAGCTTTACATGACATGACAGGGTTAACAGAACCAGTATCGTCCTCATACAATTTACACAATACAGGCTCGTTGTTTGTTATTCCAGGAGCCCGGTGCTTCAGTGTCCAGTCTGTGGAGAGCTCCAGGGCTCAGTGTCCAGTCTATGGAGAGCTCTAGGGTTCAGTGTTCAGTCTATGGAGAGCTCCAGTGCTCAGTGTTCAGTCTATGGAGAGCTCCAGGGCTCAGTGTTCAGTCTATGGAGAGATGCAGGGTTCAGTATTCAGTCTATGGAGAGCTGAAGGGTTCAGTGTTCAGTCTATGGAGAGATGAAGGGTTCAGTGTTCAGTCTATGGAGAGCTCCAGGGCTCAGTGTTCAGTCTATGGAGAGCTGTGTTCAGTCTATGGAGAGCTGCAGGGTTCAGTATTCAGTCTATGGAGAGCTGCAGGGTTCAGTATTCAGTCTATGGAGAGCTGCAGTGGTCAGTGTTCAGTCTATGGAGAGCTCCAGGGCTCAGTGTTCAGTCTATGGAGAGCTCCAGGGCTCAGTGTTCAGTCTACGGAGAGCTGCAGGGTTCAGTGTTCAGTCTATGGAGAGCTCCAGGGTTCAATGCTAAGTCTATGGAGAGCTGCAGAGTTCAGTATTCAGTCTATGGAGAGCTGCAGGGTTCAGTGTTCAGTCTATGGAGAGCTCCAGGGCTCAGTGTTCAGTCTATGGAGAGCTGCAGGGCTCAGTGTTCAGTCTATGGAGAGCTGTAGGGTTCAGTATTCAGTCAATGGAGAGCTGCAGAGCTCAGTATTCAGTCTATGGAGAGCTCCAGGGTTCAATGCTAAGTCTATGGAGAGCTGCAGGGTTCAGTATTCAGTCTATGGAGAGCTGCAGGGTTCAGTGTTCAGTCTATGGAGAGCTCCAGGGCTCAGTGTTCAGTCTATGGAGAGCTGCAGGGCTCAGTATTCAGTCTAAGGAGAGAAACATAGAAACATAGAATGTGACGGCAGATAACAACTATTCGGCCCATCTAGTCTGCCTAATTTTCTAAATACTTTCATTAGTCCCTGGCCTTATCTTATAGCTAGGATAGCCTTATGCCTATCCCACTCATCCTGATATTATTTTTAAACCTTTGTCCCTCTAATTTAAGACTATGTCCTCTTGTTGTGGTAGTTTTTCTTCTTTTAAATATAGTGTCCTACTTTTACTGTGTTGATTCCCTTTATGTATTTAAATATTTCTATCATATCCCCCCTGCCTCGTCTTTCCTCCAAGCTATGCATGTTAAGTTCCTTTAACCTTTCCTGGTAAGTTTTATCCTGCAATCCATGAACCAGTTTAGTAGCCCTTCTCTGAACTCTCTCTCTAAGGTATCAATATCCTTCTGGAGATACGGTCTCCAGTACTGCGTATAATACTCCAAGTGAGGTCTCACCAGTGTTCTGTACAATGGCATGAGCACTTGTATGTACGTAGTGGGCATTGGATAGCATTCCCTTCATCCCCCATAAAACCATAACTTACCCCTTCAAATAACGACAGACAACTTCTTGGAGAAAAACAGGCCACAGCATTTATTAACACAACCAAATACTGTATGACTCCTTTAACAGATAAAGAAATAATAAATATCATAAATTAACATAAACAATTTGCATATAGTCATACAGTAACCAAAGAAACCGTCCTTGCCAATCTAACTTCCCCAAGGCTCTCACCTCCCCCACCCCCCCTCGGCATAATAAAAACATCTTCCTTTTCAGGGCTCCCCACCAAACATAATGCTCCCCACTGGTCGACTTACAACCCAGTGGGGACACGTCCAACTGGTACCTTCTCCAGGTTCACCATAAGAGACAGGGGGAGGATGAGACCCGGCCATTACCCCCCTTTTTCATCGAATCTACCAAACCATCCCTTATTTGGCAAGGACACACCCCCGCCTCGCTGTGACAACCTCCCGGGCCCAAATACATTAAGCTGTTCTTCTGGTGACTATAGTGTGATGAAACCACCCTGTTTATTTGGTACTTTTATTTTTTTTCGTTCGGTAGTTGAAACTACCGAACACCGACCAGCCCCGGGCTCATTAACTTCAAAGAGAACAGTGGATTAAGTGCTCTCCTGTGTGGCCGCCGTTCACGTAGTTGAATGCCACGTGCAGGAGAAAATGGCGGCCATCATGTTCGCGCGAAAGGATCAGCGGGACTTGGTCGTCAAGTGTCTGGAACTGAAATCAGACACTCGACTTCCCGAATACCGGTCAAACTTTGCGAATGCCTGCTTCCTTTCCCAGACCAGCCAGGAGAGCGTTAGTCGGTAGTGTTGTACTCACAAACTAGGGGAACAAACGCTACTATGAGCCAGGGGGTACTGTTTGTGGATTTGTTTGGTTTTTAGACTTTCTGAAATAGACCGACCGCACAGCCTAAACTCATGGGTAGGAGCCTCATGTGTGGTCTGTCAAACTAAGAAATTCCTAAACCCCATAACTGATCTGGGTGATTTTGGGATATGTTGGTCACCCAGATCAGGGCTATCAGGGGATGTAACAGTTGTTGGGATTTTGTGTGTTTTGGGGGTACTTTTGAAGTTTTATGGAAAATGTGTTTTTTCTGCCAGGAGATAATTGAGTTATTACAGTATCTGACTCAATTATCTCCAAGGCAGAGAGGAGGGATTGTATGGTATGTAGGGGAGTGTCATACTTTGTAACGTTGTTGCTACTGGTTTGTAACTTTGTGTTGTAGTCCCCCACAAGGTCCATGTGGGAGTGCCCCTTGCATGGGGACTTGCAAATAAGCCAAGTGTGGCACCATTAAAATTCATTCCTGTTGTACCCTTCATCTAGTCTAGGCTGATGTTTGAGTAACTGTCTATTTGCTGGGGAAAAATTGCTTGGATGCTGCATTCGTCTAGGAACCGTTCAAATCTAAACCCGAACTACTAGCTATAATCACTCAGACTTCAGCAGTTCGGGAGGAAATAGGTTGAACGGGGATCTACAATACCAGCGTTCGTAACATATAGTGTCCTTTTAAATTCCTGCCAATTCTCACTTTAGTGATTAATCCTGAACCATATGTTTTACTATGGCCACGGCACACTAAATAATAGACAAAAAGCATTCAGTTTTTGTCTTCAGTATCTTGTTTGTTTCATAGATCGAGAGAAAAACCCTAAATATTGGAGAGACCAAGCCAAGGAGACCCTGGAACAAGCCTTAAAGCTGCAAACACTCAACACTAACACAGCAAAAAACCTGATTATATTTCTTGGAGATGGTTTGTATCAAAATTACTTGTTTTTAATGGTTCATGATGTAAATATACACAAGAGTTTATACAGCAATGAATTGTAGGGAATTGAAACCCAAACTGCCAAAATTCAGGTCAAACCAGACACATGTTAAAAAGGCAGGGTAAAGGCGGTAATGTGAATGTTTTACAGGAATGGACTGGGGGTAGAGGCGGTAATGTGAATGTATTACAGGAATGGACTGGGGGTACAGGTGGTAATGGCTACAGGAATGGATCAGTGCTAGGTGGTAATGTGAATGTTTTGTGAAATGGCCTGGGGTGTTGTATGTAATGTGAATGCATGTTGGTGAAATGGACTGGGGGTACAGGCGGTAATGTGAATGTATTACAGGAATGGACTGGGGGTACAGGTGGTAATGTGAATGTTTTACAGGAATGGACTTGGGGGTACAGGCTGTAATGTGAATGTTTTACAGGAATCGGCTGGGGGTACAGGCAGTAATGTGAATGTTTTACAGGAATGGCCTGGGGGTACAGGCAGTAATGTGAGTGTTTTACAGGAATCGACTGGGGGTACAGGCAGTAATGTGAATGTTTTACAGGAATGGACTGGGAGTACAGGTGGTAATGTGAATGTTTTACAGGAATGGACTCGGGGGTACAGGCAGTAATGTGAATGTTTCACAGGAATGGACTGGGGGTACAGGCGGTAATGTGAATGTTTTACAGGAATGGCCTGGGGGTACAGGTGGTAATGTGAATGTATTACAGGAATGGACTGGGGGGTACAGGCGGTAATGTGAATGTTTTACAGGAATGGCCTGGGGGTACAGGTGGTAATGTGAATGTATTACAGGAATGGACTGAGGGGTACAGGCGGTAATGTGAATGTTTTACAGGAATGGCCTGGGGGTAAAGGCGGTAATGTGAATGTTTTACAGGAATGGACTGGGCGTACAGGCGGTAATGTGAATGTTTTACAGGAATGGACTAGGGGGTGCAGGCGGTAATGTGAATGTTTTACAGGAATGGGGTATACACAGTAATGTGTATATTAGATAGGAATGGGGCACACACAGTGATGTGTAAATTTGACAGGAATGGGGCACACACAGTAATGTGTATATTTGACAGGAATGGGGCACACTCAGTAATGTGTATATTTGGCAGGAATGGGGCACACTCAGTAATGTGTATATTTGACAGGAATGGGGCACACTCAGTAATGTGTATATTTGACAGGAATGGGGTGCACACAGTAATGTGTATATTTGACAAGGATGGGCACACACAGTGATGTGTATATTTGACAGGAATGGGGCACACACAGTAATGTGTATATTTGGCAGGAATGGGGGACACACAGTAATGTGTATATTTGACAGGAATGAGGCACACACAGTAAAGTGTATATTTGACAGTAATGGGGCGCACACAGTAATGTGTTTATTTGACAGGAATGGGGCACACACAGTAATGTGTATATGTGACAGGAATGGGGCACACACAGTAATTTGTATATTTGACAGGAATGGGTCACACACAGTAATGTGTATAATTGACAGGAATGGGGCACACACCGTAATGTGTATATTTGAGAGGAATGGGGCACACACAGTAATGTGTATATTTGATAGGAATGGGGCACACACTGTAATGTGTATATTTGATAGGAATGGGGCACACACTGTAATGTGTATATTTGATAGGAATGGGGCACACACAGTAATGTGTATATTTGACAGGAATAGGGCACACACAGTAATGTGTATATTTGATAGGAATGGGTCACACACAGTAATGTGTATATTTGATAGGAATGGGTCACACACAGTAATGTGTATATTTGATAGGAATGGGGCGCACACAGTAATGTGTTTATTTGACAGGAATGGGGCACACACAGTAATGTGTATATGTGACAGGAATGGGGCACACACAGTAATTTGTATATTTGACAGGAATGGGGCACACACAGTAATGTGTATAATTGACAGGAATGGGGCACACACCGTAATGTGTATATTTGAGAGGAATGGGGCACACACAGTAATGTGTATATTTGATAGGAATGGGGCACACACTGTAATGTGTATATTTGATAGGAATGGGGCACACACTGTAATGTGTATATTTGATAGGAATGGGGCACACACAGTAATGTGTATATTTGACAGGAATAGGGCACACACAGTAATGTGTATATTTGATAGGAATGGGTCACACACAGTAATGTGTATATTTGATAGGAATGGGTCACACACAGTAATGTGTATATTTGATAGGAATGGGGCACACACAGTAATGTGTATATTTGACAGGAATGGGCGTATCTACAGTTACTGCCACACGGATACTGAAAGGACAGATGGCCGGAGAGTTTGGAGAGGAAACACAGCTAGAAATGGATAAATTCCCCTATGTTGCTCTTTCCAAAGTAAGATCTTTGTCTGATATTATGCATCCTACAGTGTGTGCAGTACTGTACATTGTCTCTGTACATAGTGCTATGCAGTGTGTGTGCATGTCGCAGTGTGTGAGTGAGTGCTCTACTGTGAGTACATGCTAAGGTGTGTGTGTGTGTGTGTGTGCTATACTGTGAGCACATGCTAAGGTTTGTGTCTGTGTGTGCAATACTGTGAGTACATGCTAAAGTGTGTGTGTGTGTGTGTGTGCTATACTGTGAGTACATGCTAAGGTGTCTGTGTGTGTGTATGTGTCTGCGTGTGCTATACTGTGAGAACATGCTAAGGTGTGTGTATGTGTTTGTGTGTGTGTGTGTGTGCGCTATACTGTGAGTGCATGCTAAGGTGTGAGTGTGTGTGTGTGTGTGTGTCTGTCTGTCTGTCTGTGTCTGTGTGTGCTATACTGTGAGTACATGCTGTTGTGTGTATGTATGGCTATATATATGTGTGTGTTTGCTGTGCATGTAGCTGTGTATATGCTATACACCTGTTTCCAGGGCCGGACTGGGAGAAAAATTCAGCCCGGGCATTTTTTTAGCACAGCGGCCCACTAAGAAGGGGGTGGGGCAGAGAGGGTGTGTTTCGTCATCACCAAAGACAAACACGCCCCCTCTCAAAGTGAGCGTTGGGTCAATGCTCTTCCAGGGCAGAGCTCTGCTAAAGAGCTCTAGCATGAGAAGAAAAAAAAACCTGTATTTGTTCTGCACAGTGCAAGCAAATTTAATAACATGCTTGCACTGTGTTTCCTTGAAACTTGTCTCTGGTGTCTCTATAAATGGATACCAGGAGACAAAAGGGCAAGGAAAGAGTATTGTGCATGTGTTTGGAGCCTGCTTTGGGATTGTGTGTGTGCAGAGTGAGCTGGTCGTGGTTTGGTATTGTGTAATAAGGTTGGTTTTAGTCGTGTTGTGTTTGTGGTGTAATGTAATGCATATGTGGCTAGGAGCTGAAGAGAATGTGTGTATAGGGGATGTAGTAAATGTATGCACACAGGCTATAGTGTGTGTGTGTATATAGGTGATGTAGTGTTTGTAGGGGTTGTAGAGAGTGTGCGTTTAGGGGTGTAGCATGTGTTTGTTTACAAGGAATCTAGTGTGTGTGTATCAGGGATCCAAAGTGTGTATGTTAGGAATGTAGTGTGTGTAGGTGGTGCAGTGTGTGTGTGTGTATACAGGAGTCTAGTGTGTGTTTGAAGGACCCAGAATGTGTATGAGATCTAGTGAGTGTGTGTATATAACGGAATCAGAGTGTATATAGGGATTTGGTGTGTGTATATGATCCATAGTTGGGTAAGGGATATAGTGTGTGTCTGGAATGTAATATGTTTAGCGGTGCAGTATGTGTGTGAGCGGTTCAGTGTGTGTGAACGGTGCTGTGGTGTGTGTGTGTATATATATATATAAAATATATATATATATGTTTGGAAGTATTGTGTGTGTGTGTGTGTTTAGTGCAGTGTGTTGGGGTTCTGCGTGTATGTGTGAGGGGTGCAGTGGGTGTCTGTGAGGGGTGTAGTGTGTATGTGAAGGGTGCAGTATGTGTGTGTGATGGATGTTGTGTTTGAGGGGTGCTGTGTGTGAAGATGCTGTGTATGTTGTGTTTAAGGGTGCTGTATGTGGGTGCTGTGTTAAAGGGTGCAGTGTGTGTGATTTGTGTGTGTGTGTGATGTGTGTGAAAGTGCTGTGCTGTGTGTGAGTGTGCTGTGTGTGATGTGTGTGAGAGTGCTGTGTGTGAGAGTGCTGTGCTGTGTGTGAGAGTGCTGTGAGTGAGAGTGCTGTGTGTGCTGTGTGTGAGAGTGCTGTGCTGTGTGTGAGAGTGCAGTGTGTGAGAGTGCAGTGTGTGAGAGTGCTGTGTGTGAGAGTGCTGTGTGAGTGCTGTGTGTGAGAGTGCTGTGCTGTGTGTGAGAGTGCTGTGTGTGATGTGTAAGAGTGCTGTGTGTGAGAGTGCTGTGAGTGAGAGTGCTGTGTGTGCTGTGTGTGAGAGTGCTGTGCTGTGTGTGAGAGTGCAGTGTGTGTGAGTGCTGTGTGTGATGTGTGTGAGAGTGCTATGCTGTGTGTGAGAGTGCTGTGTGTGAGAGTGCTGTGTGTGCTGTGTGTGAGAGTGCTGTGTGTGCTGTGTGTGAGAGTGTTGTGTGTGAGAGTGCTGTGTGTGAGAGTGCTGTGTGTGAGAGTGCTGTGTGAGTGCTGTGTGTGAATGTTAAAAGTGATTGTGTGTTGGGAGGGTAAAGAAAACCAACAACAAAAATGCATTATATCTTCCCCCCCCCCCCTTTACCTTTAGCCTGGGAGGGGTCCGGCACGGTGGTAGCTGGGAGGAGGGGGACCGGCACACTCACATCATCCCTGGTGGTCCAGTGGAGTTCACTCTCGCGAGATCCGGCGCGTTGCCATGGCAACGCTCCGGATCTCGCGAGAGAAACCCAGCGGAGCCGCAAGATAGAGCTCCGCCGGGTCCTCTCCCTCTCTCCCCAGCCGCAGGTCTGTTTAAATGGGCCGGTGAGGGAGATCTTTGATCTCCCCACCGGCCCTCCATGGAAGACAGCGGGGCCGGCGCTCGGATAGTGCCGGCCCTGCATAGACCGGCCGGGGAGATCCTGGGACCTCCCCTGCCGGCCTCGGCCCCACGGACACCGCGGCCCACCGGGCATTTGCCCGGTGTGCCCGATGGCCAGTCCGGGCCTGCCTGTTTCTCTGCATGTTCTGTGTATGAGTTGCGTGTTTGTGCTGTGTTTGTATGTTGCTGTGCATATGCTGTGTGTATGCACTGTGTGTATATGCCATGTGTATGAGCTGTGTTGCATGTGCTGTGTACGTGATGCTTTTGTTTCACAGTAACATGTCTGTGCATGATATTCTTTCTCTGCGTTATATTACTTCCTCCTACAGCGATGGGATTATACAGCCGCCCAGAGATTGGGACAGAACAGATTTTATATTAACTCAGCCAGGCGCACAATGGGTGTCACTGTCATTGCAACATCTTTTCTTAATATTCGTGTTGTCCTTTAATCCAGATGGCATTGCATCTCATGGAGAAAGTATTAATCTATCCCCAGACCCCAGACCATGCAGGAGACATAGGAGATATGGTCCAAAAACAGGCAGACAGGAATACCTCTTCCCTCTGCAGGATTGGCTGCCAGTCAGCCACGCTCCCCTTTTTGTCCTGACCCCCATCTCCTAACAATGCATTAATTGTATCAGATTTACACTACATTACGCATGTAATGCATTTTATACCTGCCCAATGTATCCACATGTACCTTGTTTTGGGGAGGGGGGGAAGGTCTGTGAATGTAAATATGGGAGTGTTTACATGCTGAATATTTTTAGTGAATGCCATTGATTTGATTTACATATAGCAGACTTAATTTCAGTCTTTTCTCTGCTTGTCCTATGACAGACATATAACACAGACTCCCAGGTGCCAGACAGCGCAGGGACCGCTACGGCATTCCTGTGCGGCGTGAAAACCAATAGAGGTACACTGGCTGTCAATGCAGCCACCGTCTTAGGAAACTGCATGTCATCAAAGGGCAATGAGGTGCAGTCCATACTCAGATGGGCAAAGGACGCCGGTAAGAGGCATGCGCAATGAATGATAGAGCTAGACTGTAAATTGTCCAACATGTTCCATTACAACACCATAAACCAGAGGCCAGAATGTAGCCTGATGTCAGAGGAGTCCAGCAGGAAGTGAAGTTCAGTATTACACATCCTCATAATGTATGTAATGACTTTTTCTATTGATGAAAACACTCAAATACGACAAAAACTCTCAAACAGCCCAACCCTTTACCCAAGGGTTTAATAGATACGAGATTAGGTGTGATAGGGTGGAAACCAGTCACTCTTTGTCTAATGCACACATTGGAGATATTCCATAAATTAGTCTCCAGCTTCTGTGATGTTTATTTATTCCAATTATATAATCTTGTCTGTGTGTCAGGGTGGGTCAAACTGGTTCTGTTGGAATTAATGCTGTTTAATTAATGCTCTAGTAATCAGGTATCTGAGTTCACAAACCACAGAGAGATTAATCACTTTCTGACATCTCTTGGAAACCAGGATTGTGTCGGCATGTCATTAAAGTAAAGTGTGAGTTTTTGGTAATTCAAGTGTGGTTTGAAGTACCAAAAAATCACCTTGATTTCCTGGCAATTCGTACTTTAATAAATGAATGACCCTGCAAGTTATTATATGATTTATATTATATAGGGGTTGGTACACATCAGGTTTTTAGAAACCAGGTTAGTTGAATCAACACTCATTTTTTTATTTTCTTTATAAAAATAATATGCCCTTTCAATGCCAGATTGGTTAATAATGCTTCCCTTGTTATGCCTAATAACATCTGGCACTCAGAGAGGTAGTTGTGTAAAATTAAACTCTTCCAGTCCAATGACAAATTTTTGTAGGCTTATTATGTAATATACCTCAGCTCACACCACGCTGAAGAACAGTTTATTCTCAGACTGGAAAAATAGATGGAGAGTAAAACGTTCTCCTTATGAAATTGTAGATTTGGTGGACAGGGCACTGCTTGTTAGGGGTGGATTGGATGAAGAGGTACTGCTTGTTAGTGGTAGATTAGATTAAGAGGTACTGCTTGTTAGTGGCAGATTGGGTGGATGAGGCACTGCTTTTTAGGGGTAGATTGGGTGCAAAGGCACTGCTTGCTAGGGGTAGATTGGATGGACAAGGTATTGACCGTTATGGGTAGAGATTGGGTGGATGAGGTATTGTTGTTTAGTGGTAGATTGAGTGAAGAGGCTTTGCTTGTTAGAAGTAGACTGGATGAGGATGCACCACTTGTTAGAGGTAGATTGGGTGGACGAGGTATTGATTGTTAGATGTACATTGGGCAAATGAGGTGTTGCTTGTAAGGATAGATTGGATGAAGAGGTACTGCTTGTTAGTGGTAGATTGGATGAAGAGGTACTGCTTGTTAGGGGGGATTGGATGAAGAGGTACTGCTTGTTAGGGGGGGTTGGATGAAGAGGTACTGCTTGATAGTGGCAGATTGGATGAAGAGTTATTGCTTGTTAGTGGTAGATTGGATGGAGAGGTACTGCTTGTTAGGGGGGATTGGATGAAGAGGTACTGCTTGTTAGGGGGGATTGGATGAAGAGGTACTGCTTGTTAGGGGGGATTGGATGAAGAGGTACTGCTTGTTAGGGGGGATTGGATGAAGAGGTACTGCTTGTTAGGGGGGATTGGATGAAGAGGTACTTCTTGATAGTGATAGATTGAATGAAGATGTACTGCTAGATAGTGATAGATTGAATGAAGAGGTACTGCTTGTTAGCTTTAGATTGGATAAAGAGGTACTGCTTGTTAGTGGTAGATTTGATGCAGAGGTACTGCTTGTTAGTGGCAGATTGGGTGGATGAGGCACTGCTTTTTAGGGGTAGATTGGGTGCAAAGGCACTGCTTGTTAGGGGTAGATTGGATGGACAAGGTATTGACCGTTATGGGTAGAGATTGGGTGAATGAGGTATTGTTGTTTAGTGGTAGATTGAGTGAAGAGGCTCTGCTTGTTAGAAGTAAACTGGATGAGGATGCACCACTTGTTAGAGGTAGATTGGGTGGACAAGGTATTGACTGTTAGAGGTAGATTGGGTGGACGAGGTATTGACTGTTAGAGGTAGATTGGGTGGACGAGGTATTGACTGTTAGAGGTACATTGGGCAAATGAGGTGTTGCTTGTAAGGATAGATTGGATGGACGAGATATTGATTGTTAGAGGTAGATTGGGTGGACGAGGTATTGACTGTTAGAGGTACATTGGGCAAATGAGATGTTGCTTGTAAGGATAGATTGGATGGACGAGATATTGATTGTTAGAGGTAGATTGGGTGAAGATGCATGGCTTCTTGCAGGATATACTGACTGAGAGAGGTTCTGCATGTTGAGGAGAAGATTGGGGAGAAGAAACACTGTTAGTATTTTTTATGCATGTATTTTTTGGGGGGGACAAAACAAAACTGGTGGTTTTTGCAGGGAAGTCGGTTGGTGTAGTAACTACAACCCGAATAACCCACGCAACGCCAGCTGCTGCCTTTGCACACAGTGCAGACCGGAACTGGTACTCCGATAGCAATATGCCCCCAGAGGCTATTGCCCAAGGCTGCAAAGACATTGCATGGCAACTCATTGAAAACATACCTGATATTGAGGTAAGTTTTCCATTAGCAACCACTGTCCCAAATGAGGGTCACACATACACTAGGGCTGGACACCAAGGATATAACATATGGGCAAAAGGATGAATTATAAGGGCTCTTGTAGGAAGTTCACTTTTAGCACTAAACTCCTGTATAGCAGACCCACTTTATACTGCTCTGGAGACAGAACCATAATGTGAACAGAAAGGTTAGACAATCCTACGAAAAAGTCAAAAGAGTCAAAACAAAAAGTGAATCCACAAGGGTCCTCTGACTTTAAACTATGAAAAGCAAACCAATGCTTATGTGAATCTATGATCTTGAGCAGGGGTAGGCAACCATCGGCACTCCAGTTGTTAAGGACTACATCTTCCATAATGCTGGCAAGGTATCAAAGGAGATGTAGTTCACAACACCTGGTGTGCCAAAGGTTGCCTACTACTGTTCTAGAGGGATGATGAGGATAACTGAGACTCTTCCTGACCACAATGGACACATGCAAAAGATTAGCCAGAAGCCCATCGGGTTAAATGTTCTTTACAGGGAACTAGATGTTTTACTGTCTCACTAGGTTTCTCACCTTTACCTAAATGCTATATTTTACCTTGATGGGATCTGATAGTCTGACTCCAAATCCAAGCCCTCCTCCTGACACAATGCACAAGCTTTCACATGCATGCTAACATATAATTCCTGTTCCCGCCAAAGAGATGAAAACATTTTTTTTCAAGATATCTAATTTCCCTTCTCTCACATCATTACTTTAGACACAGATGGTTAGTCACAACTTGCAGCTCATTTTTTCTGTTTGTAAATAATAACAGGTGATCCTCGGTGGGGGTCGGAAGTACATGTACCCGTTAGGAACCCCTGACGTAGAGTATCCTGAAGATCCCAAGGCTAATGGTACAAGAAATGATGGGGAAGATCTGGTAAAAGTCTGGCAGGAGAAGAAGGATCCTAGCAAGGTATGAAATGTGACCAATTTACAAAACCATAAACAGCTCTTGGAAGAAAATAATAACTTTTACTCATAATCACAGAGTTATACCTCTTCTCCAGTGATTTATGGACAGGGCACTAATGACACCCAAACTCACTTTTCATTGTATGTAACTGTTTTAGGTCTCTCGATACGTTTGGAATCGTAGCCAGCTGTTAAGCTTGGACAAAGAACATGTGGACTACGTACTGGGTGAGTGAATATTGGGTATTTCACGTATAACAAGGAGAAAGCTTACAGCTTTTTGGGGAACTCGTGAGATTTTTATTGGACACTGGAGAACATGTAACTACTACTGATGAACAGCGTGCTTGTATCACATGTGCAACTATCTCCACTTTGCAGCACTGCTATGGAGACTGTAAAACAGATTGGCACAAAGTGTAGTGTACTGTGGAGTAGAGCTATTAAGAATGTACTCTACAAGGGTATTCACCAAAATTCAAATCCAGATTACAAAATTAAAGCTGATTCTGGGAAATTTACAACGTCAGCTATAGTAACAACTTGACTATTTCAACTTTAAAGGGATACTATAGTGCCGGGAATACAAAGCTGTATTCCTGGCACTATAGCATTCCTGCCTCCGCCCTCCCCACACCCAGCACTAATGTCCCTCCGCACTGGGCCGACGCTCCACACTCTCTGAGCGGGCATCAATGTGCATGCACTGCATATGCCATAAGCGCATTAAACCTCCCCATAGGATTATACTGCCCCCAATGCGTTCCTATGGGGAAAAATCTGACGCTGGAGGTCCTCATGCAGAGCGTGAGAACGTCCAGCATCAGATACCGGACTAAAGGTCAGTTTCAATCCAGGAAGCCCTCTACAGCCACTGGAGGCAGACTTAGTGCAGCAATGTAAACATTGCAGTTTCACTAAGTGCAAAAGGGGAACTGCACCTAGACCACTTCAGTGAGCAAAAGTGGTCTGGGTGCCTACAGTGTCCTTTTAATTGTGCAACCTGCAGCACAATCCACTAAAATCTGAAATTTAGTAAATAACCCTGTCTGTATTTTAGAAAAATTCTTAATAGACACAGTCCACTTTTGTACTGTAACTCTAAAAATTCTCAGCCAGCCAAGCCTGAATTAATTAATGAAAATAGCAGATTATTTTTTGCAGATTTAGCTTTCAGCACGTGCGCAATGACCTGCGCACAATGTAGCGGGCCTGCCGACAACCAGACCAGTTGTCCTTGCTCAGCCACGTCTTGTGTCTGTAAAGGAATCAGCTATAACACAGAATAACCCATTTCCCACCCAGTAACCAGACGACACACAGTCCTGGGGGTACAACAACAACTTTATTGGCCACACTCGGCTTTATACTTTCCCCATGCAAGGGGTGGATCACACATAGAGACAATGTCCCCTCCCAGGGGTCACATAACGGAACTGGAGCCCCAATCTTTTTGTCCCCTGTTCCCGCCCCTCCATGACCCCTCCCCGGGTCCTCCCCCTCCCAGGGGCATGTGTGTGTGACAGGAACTCCAGGCCCTTTGTCCCCAGTTCCCGCCACCCATCCTCAGTGTTGTTTGGTGTGAACATTCCAAGGGTCACTGGGGAGGTCCTCGTTTGGGAACCAAATGAGGTGGGAAGCAATCCATGAATGCTCCCCCTAGATGGCGTTCGTCTAACAAACGGGCCGCCACCCAGGGTCGGCATGCACCGAGGCTTCCCTTGCAGTTTGTTGTTTTGACACCTCGTCCTGCGATCCTGACATTACCAACCATGCTGCTAAGTTCCAGATTTGGTTTTAGAGGACTTTTGTTTCTGAACCTAGTTGGATTCTCACACCCATTAATCCAAGTACATCATTTGATATTTTGTTTCTGCAATTTTGGGGGGGAAATAATGGTTTGTCCACTAACCACCTGTATTTTAATGCTGAACACAGCTATGCATCACCAAACTGATTCCTGGCCATTAAACAGACAATCAGGCTAATCACTAAAGTCAGAATTGTCAGCAATTCAAACGGACAAAATAGCCGAACTAGAAGCAGAGCTGGCTGGGACATGTTTTCTGTATGGGTTTATATACCTGACAATTCTCACTTTGGTAAACAGCCCTGTACCCTTGCTAAGTTTATATCATAAAATAATGAAAGTTTAAACTTAAAATAAATAGTGCAAACATGGAATGAAACCTCAGTCACAGGGCCATCTTCTGCTGGGATTATACTGCCCCCTAGGGGTTCTTACATGGAAATATCTGTCCTGACAAGAATATATTTATATTTAAAGGACCACTCTAGGCACCCAGACCACTTCAGCTTAATGAAGTGGTCTGGGTGCCAGGTCCAGCTAGGCCATTCTTTTATAAACATAGCAGTTTCAGAGAAACTGCTATGTTTATCAATGGGTTAAGCCTTCCCCCAAAGCCTCTAGCGGCTGTCTCATTGACAGCCGCTAGAGGCGCTTGCGTATTCTCACTGTGAAAATCACAGTGAGAGCACGCAGCGTCCATAGGAAAGCATTGATAATGCTTTCCTATGCGACCGGCTGAATGCGCGCACAGCTCTTGCCGCGCGTGCGCATTCAGCCGACGGGGAGGAACGGAGGAGGATCGGAGGAGGAGAGCTCCCCGCCCAGCGCTGGAAAAAGGTAAGTTTTTACCACTTTCCCCCTTCCAGAGCCGGGCGGGAGGGGGACCCTGAGGGTGGGGGCACCCTCAGGGCACTATAGTGCCAGGAAAACGAGTATGTTTTCCTGGCACTATAGTGGTCCTTTAACTCATTCTTGGTTATAAAACAGTTTAACTTAACCCCTTAAGGACATGTGTGACATGTCATGATTCCCTTTTATTCCAGAAGTTTGGTCCTTAAGGGGTTAAAGGAAGGATGGTAAAAAGGCGCATGGTCCGTCTAAGGAAACAATGACAGAAAAACTTTCGCAAATAAAAAACATCAGTGCGGTTCACAATGCTCCCCTTCATCTGATCACCAGGGAAAGATAAGCACATGGAGGGCAACATACATACACACTGAGACACCACACACACACAACATTTGGTAACACAAAACACACACAAAACGTAGACTCCCCCACACTCCAAATTCAACCAGCACACACACATACAAACATACACACAGTCACATTCATCCCCACCACATACAGCTCTTGGCCTCCTACACACAAATACACACACACACACACACACAACACTCAGTCACTACACACACTTTCACAACATTCAGTCTCCCTCACACACAACACTCACAAAACAGAGCCCAGGGCTCTGGGGCCCCAATCTTGGCAGACAGGAATTCTATTTTGTAAATGGAAAGCAGTTGAAGGAAATTAAATTATGTTTTCCATTCTCAGGTCTCTTTGAACCGAACGATATGGCCTATGAATTAAAAAGAAGGAATACCACAGACCCTTCCCTGTCCGAAATGGTTGATTCAGCAATTCACATCCTCCAGAAAAATCACCTTGGTTATTTCTTATTAGTGGAAGGTAAACAATTGCTAAAAGGATCCCAGTGCCTTATAGGGTATCCTACTCCATCCTACCCCCCAGAGGGCAGTTATACACTGTCACTCTGAAATGACTCAAATCTACAATATACAACATCACATGCATTACCTGTACCAGTTACCCTGTTTAAGTGGCTACTATATAAAGTAACCCGGCCTGAGGGGCATCCAGTTACCCTGTCCATAGGGCACCTGTCCAAGGGGCAGATAATTACCCTGTCAGTAAAGCAGTTACATTTATTTTACCTTGTCTGGGCAGTTATATCCAGTTACTATGTCAGAGGGGCAGTTACATACAGTTACCTTGTCAGAGGGGCAGTTATATACAGTTACCTTGTCAGAGGGGCAGTTATATCCGATAACCCAGTTTGCCCGGTAGTTATATAAACATTACCCTTCCCAATGGGCCATTATATCTATCGCTTTTTGAGGCCCTGATAAATCCAATTACACTATCTGAGGGGCAGTTATATACAATTACCCTATCCGAGTGGTAGTTATATGTAATTACCCTGTCCAAGAGGCATATGTCCATAAAAGGGGCAATTGTACCAATTACCCTGTACAAATGGCAGTTATATATTTCACTTTGAACACAGCAATTATACTCCTACCTGTCTCAGTCAGGAAGTACCCCTATAGCCCAGTTTATTTTTGTTTCTGTGGCCTAGGTGGGCGAATAGACCACGGCCACCATGCAGGGGAGGCCAGCCTTGCATTACACGAAGCTGTGGAGCTGGACAGGGCCATACACGTGGCAGAAGATCTGACCTCAGAAGAGGATACCCTGACTGTGGTGACTGCCGACCATTCCCACGTTTTCACCTTTGGAGGGTACCCACCCAGAGGAAACCCTATTTTAGGTATGTACCCCACCCCATGACCACAAAACCCTGCAAATAGCAAAGGATGGTTTTACTTTTACAAGAACTGCCTATAAATCATTTAATGAAACATCCACAAAGAAACTGAATAAATGCCTAACAACTAACTTCCCAAAAAATGGACATTTTGAGAGCTCGCTGTTCAGCAAGTCACATTACGGTAACACAGGCGTGGACATATCAGGAATTACACGGTACAGTTACACATGTAATGCAAACGCTGCAGATTTTATCTTCACATAATGAATAATGAATTGTATATTTTGATTCATGCAATCCCTTGACACATGAGACACAATATTTTATCCCTTGCATTTGATCGTGGTGTTTAGGGATAATTGGACCGTGAATATTATTTTGCGGTAGGGAAATGTTATATTCCCATCTCTTACTTTATATTACCAGGCAAGACTCCAGAACTCAGCGACGCTGACTTTAAACCATACACCTCCATCTTGTATGGAAATGGACCTGGATTTAAGCTTGAAAGAGGGGAGCGAGTAAATATCTCAGACATAGACACAAGTAAGAGAGAGATGTGTATGTTTATTTGTACCATTATCCAACTGTAAATGTGTGTATTTACTGCACGCCCTGGCAGGTGCGGAGGAAATGCTATACATCTGGTTAGTGGGCAGTGGATATAATTATATCTTCATTATTATTATTATTATTATTATTTTTATAAAAAAATTCACTATGCTTTATTTCCATTTTTTTTTTCAAAATATTTTTGTTGTCTGGTTTATTGACTCATTTTGGACTTTCTATCTCGACAGCGAATCCAAATTACCAAGCCCAGGCAGCTGTGCCCTTGAAAGTAGAGACTCACGGTGGAGAAGACGTGGCCATCTTAGCTAAGGGCCCGATGGCTCATCTTTTTCATGGTGTCTGTGAGCAGAGCTACATCCCTTATGTAATGGCGTACGCCGCTTGCATTGGCGAGAATAAGGCCCACTGCTCACAGCGTGCTTACCATTCAGACTCTGCACTGTTATCATTTTCGTTCACGTCTGTTTTACCGCTGGTAGTTTGGCTGGTTCTCTGAACTCATACATTGTGCTTTCAATTTCCCAGGATATTTTAATGTAAGAATATTATTATATCACTCTCTCCCACACAGGGAGCTGTGAGAACCAACATTTGTACGATTAAACTGAATCATGTTCCAGTATGTAACAATAAATTCTTTGTTTTCAGATATTTAATACTATATCACTAAAAGGCGTTTTGGACATGGTTTACTCTAACTTTGGAGTCACAAAGGGAATAAACCCTTTAAATGGTAAAGGTCAGGTGTAAACCCTTCAAATGTCATAGAGGGTGATCTCTCTCAGTTAATGGAACACTGTAGCATAAGGAATACATATCTGTGTACAAATGTTTCAGCCCTGATTTCTCTTGTTATTTAGGTCCCCCTCCATTTGTAAAAAAACAACAATGTAATGAATAAAAAAAATAAACAAATTGCTCACCTTTTATCCTGTACTGAGGCTTCCGCAATGTCCTCGGCTTACGTCATCATAGAGGTGTGCCTCCAGGATGACAGGCCAATCCAGTGCTCCACAAAGAGAAGCATTAGGGAACGTAGGTGCGCCTACAATTCCTCCATAAAGAATCGCTGTACTCATTGATTCATTATGGCTAACTGTGACATCACAGCATGCTGTAAGATATTCCCAGCTCTCATACCCAGAGGACTTGTAAGCCTAGCTTTAAATTAAGGGATAGTGTCTTGAAAGAAAATCTAGTTGTCCGAATTAATTTTGTCCAAAAAAAATAAATGTTGTTTTGGGCAATTCAAATTTGTCAATGTGCTGTGTCAGTTTACATGAATTTAGCTCAAATGATTGTTTTTAAATTTCTTTTTTTATGAATTAAACTACAATGCACCTATAAGTGTACTGTAAAATATAAACATAGCTCATTTTTTTGCCAATTGGTTTACAGATCACATGAGAAGATATACCCATTTAAGGGGGGAAAAGGAAGAGAAGTAAAAATCTGTGAATAAAATCATCAATTAGTGGCTACTATCTAATCAATCATTATTATTATTTTTGGCGCCATGATCAGAACTTTGAATCACAAAACAAACAAAACGGCCCATCCATTGCCCATTCTGTTTGTTTCATGATTAGAAGTTGCGGAATTCATACAAATCTCTGATCACCCCATCAATGATTTGTTTGAAATCTAATGCACAAGTCTAATAGGAGGAAGGGTGAATAAACCTGGGTAGACCCAGGCTGCAAACTAACAATAAAGACATTGTGTTTTTTTTAAAGGACTGATTTATACATTTCCACTTTATAAATTAAACAGTCCATTGGGTATATTAGATAGTCCTGCGTTGTCTGTAAAGCATTGTCGGTTTATTGATACGACAATGATTACATGGTATGGATGCAGTGTCCCTGTAGTTTTAGTCGTGCGATGTAAAGCATTGTCGGTTTATAGATTCGGCATTGATTACATGGTATGGATGCAGTGTCCCTGTAGTTTTAGTCATGCGATGTAAAGCATTGTCGGTTTATAAAAATACGGCAATGATTACATGGTATGGATGCAGTGTCCCTGTAGTTTTAGTCGTGCAATGTAAAGCATTGTCGGTTTATAAAAATACGGCAATGATTACATGGTATGGATCAGGGCCGGATTAACATAGGGGCTGATGGAGCTGCAGCTCCAGGCCCAGGACCATGGAATAGGCCCATTTAAAAAAAAAATATTATTTTTTTTACACCCTACTCTTAGGTTTGCCACCTGACTGGTATTTTACTAGCACAGATGGTATTTGAGGCTGCCTGGCCGTGCCGGTATTGCAGTAATACCGCAATACAAATGCAGATATTTTTCTCAGTATAAACAGAGATTACCCTGCAATACAAGCACCAACCAGTAGGGGTCCCTGTGTAAGGAGAGAGGCAGGGATAGGAAGTTACCGCTCTCTATTACTCACTGATCCCTGGGGGAGCAGCTACACAGCTCCCAGCCTGCAGAGACAGCCTACAGCTTAGGGAAGTGAGGGATGAGGGGAAAGGCTGCAGGGAGACATTGGGAGACTGAGACACTAAGGGACACTGGGAGACCTGGGGACAGACACACTGGGAAACATGGGGACACTGAGACACCGGGAGACATGGGGGCACTGAGACACTAGGGGACGCTGTGAGACATAGGGACATTGAGACACATTGGGACGCGGAGACACTAAGTGTTTCCATGTCTTCCAGTGTCCCCATGTCTCCCAGCCAGTGTCCCTAGTGTCTGTGTCCCCATGGCTACCAGTGTCCCCTAGTCTCCCAGTGTCTGTGTCCCCATGTCTTTCAGTGTCCCTAGTGTCTCAATGTCCCCATGGCTCCCAGTGCCCCCATGTCTCCCAGTGTCCCCATGTCTCCCAATGTCCACATGGCTCCCAGCCAATGTCTCTCAGTATCCCTAGTGTCCCCATGTCTCCCAGTGTCCCCAAATGTTTCAGTGTCCCCATGTCTCCCAGTGTCCCCAAGTGTCTGTGTCCCCATGCCTCCCAGCCAGTGTCCATAGTGTCTCAATGTCCCCATGTTTCTCAGTGTACCTATTGTCTTAGTGTCCCCAAATGTCTATGTCCCCATGTCTCTGTGTCCCTAGTGTCTGTGTCCTCATGTCTCTCAGTGTCCCCCAAGTGTCTCCATGTCTCACTGTGTCCCCATGTCTCTCAGTGTCCCCTAGTATCCTTGCGACGCAGGACACACTGAGACATGGGAACACTGGAAGCAATGAGGACACAGACACTGGGAGACTAGTGGACTGGGTGACATGGGGACACTGACACTATGATACATAGGGACACTGATGCCAGGCTGGCCTTCCAATTCTTTGGGCAGACATGCCCCCTTTTTGGGCATTTTCGCTCCTTTTGGCAGTTCTGGTCATGTGATTCGTGTCAGTGGCCCACACTTTTACACCAGCCATTGACTTCCTGCTTCACTGGACACTGCTTTTAGGGGGAATGGATTTATTTGAAAGATGAAAGCAACAATTAGAGAGAGATTAGCAGAATCTGCGTTTTCTTATAGCTGCATCTTATGAGTTTCTCTCTGGCACCATCTCCACCAGATACATAACGCTTGAGGGGTATGACCGTTTTAGTGTTTTTGGTCGATAAGATTCTGTAATTAGACCCCTCATAATTGTCAGTACCAGGCCCACTGGGCTCTTAATCTGGCCGTGGTATGGATGCAGTGTCCCTGTAGTTTTAGTCCTGTGATGTAAAGCATTGCCGGTTCATAGATTCGGCAAGGATTACATGGTATGGATGCAGTGTCCCTGTAGTTTTAGTTCTGCGTTGTAAAGCATTGCCGGTTTATAGATACGGCAATGATTACATGGTATGGATGCAGTGTCCCTGTAGTTTTAGTCCTGCGTTGTAAAGCATTGTCGGTTTATAGATACGGCAATGATTACATGGTATGGATGCAGTGTCCTTGTAGTTTTAGTCCTGTGATGTAAAGCATTGCCGGTTTATTGATTCGATAATGATTACATGGTATGGATGCAGTGTCCTTGTAGTTTTAGTCCTGCGATGTAAAGCATTGTCGGTTTATAGATACGGCAATGATTACATGGTATGGACGCAGTGTCCTTGTAGTTTTAGTCCTGCGATGTAAAGCATTGTCGGTTTATAGATACGGCAATGATTACATGGTATGGACGCAGTGTCCTTGTAGTTTTAGTCCTGCGATGTAAAGCATTGCCAGTTTATTGATTCGGCAATGATTACATTGGACAGCTAAATACAGGCTGTCTTCGGGACAGGCACTAGAGGATGATTTCACGGTAAAAACTCAGTTTGAATCAGTTTTGTGCCATTCAACGTTGAACGTCATCAAATGCTGGTCTTAGGGAAACATGCATGCCTTCTCGTCCAACATCACAGCCTGACCTCAGAAACACAAACAAATCCCACAGAAACACTCCAAAATCAGGTGGAAAGCCTTCCCAGAATAGTTAGAACTGCAAAGGGGGGACCAACTACATTAATGATAGTCCTTGTTGGTGTAATAGTCAGCTGACCCAATAATATTGTCCATTTAGTGTATCTCCAATTAGAGGAAATCAACAAATCAAGCGATATCGAACTCCAAATAGTGTCAGCAGATAACATTTTGATGACACTAGAGGATCCAGAGTCCTTTTTGGAAGAATTGATCAGGATATAAAACTAATGTAAATAAATCTGTTTTCCTAACAAAACATACATTGAAAGTAAAAGTTGAAAACTGCATAGAAAGGAATGGCTAACGATACTACCAGATACTTAGGTATTAAAATCACACCAACTCCAGAGATCCTAAAGGAAAGAAACTTTCTCCAACTGCCGAAACAAACCAATAAGAAGTTAAAAAGTTACATTACATAGTTACATAGTTACACAGTTACATAGTTACACAGTTACACAGTTACATAGTTACATTACATAGTTACACAGTTACACAGTTACACAGTTACATAGTTACATTACATAGTTACACAGTTACACAGTTACATAGTTACATAGTTACATAGTTACATAGTTACATAGTTACATTACATAGTTACACAGTTACACAGTAACACAGTTACATAGTTACATTACATAGTTACACAGTTACACAGTTACACAGTTACACAGTTACATAGTTACATTACATAGTTACACAGTTACACAGTTACATAGTTACATAGTTACATAGTTACACAGTTACATAGTTACATAGTTACATTACACAGTTACACAGTTACATAGTTACATTACATAGTTACACAGTTACACAGTTACATAGTTACATAGTTACACAGTTACATAGTTACATAGTTACACAGTTAGATAGTTACACAGTTACACAGTTACACAGTTACACAGTTACATAGTTACATTACATAGGTACACAGTTACATAGTTACATAGTTACATAGTTACACAGTTACACAGTTACACAGTTACATAGTTACATTACATAGTTACACAGTTACACAGTTACACAGTTACATTACATAGTTACATAGTTACACAGTTACATAGTTACA